GAGAGAGAGAGAGAGAGAGAAAGAGATAGAGAAAGAGAAAGAGAAAAAGAAAGAGATAAGAAAGAAAGACAGAGACGATAAAAAGAGGGGAAGAAAGAAAGAGAAGGCGAGGAAGACAGAGAGGGATGGAAAAAAATACAGCACCCAGGTTCAACACTTACGTCTCCAGTGGTGACACCAGTGCTTGTGGCTGTAGCACCGTTGATTCCAGTGGCAGAGATTGTCACAGTCCAGGTACGGAGTCCGTTGGAGATACCTGGATAGAGAGAATTTTTGTTTGAAAAAGAGCTGTTACGGCACTGACTTGCTTTACGTTCTGATCAACACACACAATTTAGACCATAAATGATGGGAGAAGGGTTGTTTTGAACACTCTTGTGAGGACAGCCAAATCAGAGCTAAAATGGATAAAAAATTCCAACAGACTGACAGAGATGCAACTGCATGTTGCAAACATATTTTAAATAGTAAAGTTGTTTCCCCATCCGATCCGGACATTGGGGATTGCTTTGTTAGTGAGACAACTTCCTGGGCCTTCGGCATTATATTGTGGTAGGGTCGCCAGTTCCTTTCCACGCCTGATTCCCCGTTTAGACCGCTAAGTTGACATCCAGCCCTTGGCGCTCATATGACCTTTTGCAGTTTCGAGCGCCGTAAAACTTAACTAAAACAAACAGAAAGCCAGACTGTTGATTTGCTCTTTATTTCCACGGCAATGTCTCACCTGCGTCGGAGAGAATATTTTTGTTTTACTTTTTTTTACTTTACTTTTTTAATACTTCATCTTTTCGACGAAGTGAAGTGGCGTCGGTAGCCTAAGACTCGTAATCGTGAGATTACGGGTTCGGGGGTTCGAGCCTCAGCTCGCCCGACGTTGTGTCCTTGGGAAAGACGCTTTACACGAACTTCCCTCTTGGCTTTGTCCTATCGGAGACGGACGATGAACTAGGAGGTCCCGCCCCTTAAATAACCCGATAGTGTTGATAGGGGCGTTAAACCCATACCATTTCACCATTTTAGACAGAGTGAAAAGCGGCTGCCATGACAGTGCACGGTCTAGGATAATATATTATAATTCAAGTCTATGGTAGTGACTCACCATCGTATCTGACGACCCAGTTAACGGTGGGTGGGTCACACAGGGGGTTGTTGGGGTCCAGTGTGAACTCGTTGCTCAGCAGGGTGATGGAGTCTCCGATCTGGATGAGGACAAAAAGCAACAGGTTAAGCCACAGGTGTCGTTGTTGTTGTTGTTGGTGTTGTTGATGTGGTTGTTGTTGTTGTTGTTGTCGTTATTGTTGTCGTTGTTGTTGTTGTTTTTGTGATTGTTGCTGTTGTTGTTGTTGTTGCTGCTGTTGTTGTTGTTGCTGTTTATAGTATTATCGATCCAGTACACATAATGTGTCAAACTCATGACCAGCGAGATAATTTTTGAAAGTTTATAATTCGTCATGTGAATCCATAAAATGTGGGTGCTTTGCGGGTGCTCAGGTGTGGTTTGATCCTTTTTCCCTATCAAACATCTATCGCCCTTATTTCTATTCCTTCTTGTTTGTGTATATTACTATCTTGTAACACGCCTACTCTATATTGCCTTATTGTATTGCAAGTCGAGTAAAACTCTTACTAAAACTAAATGAATCCGTTACACAGAACCTTGCTTCAAACGTAAACGAACTTGTCAAGAAAAGATGCTAAACATCCAGCGCTGTCAAACTAAACTGACATGATAGAAAAAAATGACATGCATTGACTTGTTATCATTTGACATTTTGTCTACAACTGATTCATATAACTGTTCTTAAACTTTGCAGCTTTTCCAATGCCCAGAGAGTGTTTAGCCATTTTGGCCAGCAACCTTAAATCACCCCCCTGAGAGATTGGGTTTGAAACCACTGGGATACTCCCACATAAGTATATCTGTGTGAAACAATTTTCTAAACACTTTCGGTCAAAATGACCTGTAACACCAAATAGCCCATGGATATATATATATTTTTTTACAAATCAAGAACATGATATCGGTTAGCGAGAAGAGGGTGGGGGATGGGGAGGGGAAGGTGGAGGGGGATGGGATTGGGAGAAAAGGGTGGTATTGAACTTTATTTGTTTGAGGAAAGTTTAAGACTTTACTTCCACTAGGCCTAGTCGTATCGGAGATAGACTTTACTGAAAGTTAACAGTTCCCACATCAAAGGGAAACTGATACAGTTCAAAAGGGCTTTAAACACTTAACCCCTTTAAGAAAAAAGAACAAAATCGTTCCATTCAGTGTTTGGGTTCTATTTCTGCATGCTCAGTAAGCAGGTCAGGATTTATAACAAATGAGACACCTTTCAGACATTATTAGTGTCTCCTTACAAAGGAACCCATTAAGCTTTTCATTGATATAAACACATAATATTCTAACAAAAAAGGGCCTCAAAACTTCAACCCAGAAGTCTAGTGGCGTCGGTGGCCTAGTGGTTAGGCTCTCGGACTCGCAACCGTAAGGTCGTGGGTTCGAATCCCGTCAGGGGCCCGACGTTGTGTCCTTGGGAAAGGCACTTTACACGAATTTTCCTCACTTCACCCAGGTGGGAATGGGTACCCGGCTATAGACAGCGAAAGATCTTGTCAGTTTGTTAGTGTTTGAGCGCTTAATCGGCTGCTTGCACTGTATGCTTCCCGGGAAGCTGAGAATGTTTCGGAATGTTCTATGGTCTGCTGGGGTAATAATATAGTGTAAAGCGCATAGAGCCTGCTGTTGAGCGGGGATATGCGCTATACAAATGCTATCTATTATTATTATTATTATTAACGAGTTATACTGTTGGCTGTTGCTATAGAGTAAGAATAATCTAATTCCCCTAATAACAATAATTTATTCGATTAAGATAGGTAAAAGTAAACTTTGCTAGGCCCCATTCGAAACGTTCCTAACCTTATACACACATCCGGAATATGCAACCTCAGCAGAACCACACGTGGGTCGTTGGGGCGTCTTGCGCAAAGATGCTTTTAACTTATAATTAAGAATACAATACAGGCAGACACAAACACATAATTTATTGAGGATTATTCAAGAGGTATGAAAGAGCTGCGAGCCGGCCCTCCATAGAAAACTGCATCTCCCCTCGACGCTTA